CGGTTTTACTGTGGGCGGCGCGGTGAGTGTGCAGCGATTGCAAGGTTATTTCTGTAGTGCGGTTTTGGGTGCTGGACTGTGGTGGTAACTGATGGTGCAATTGGCGAACTGAAGCGGCCCGTTTGGAGTCATGGTCGGCGGCGGTTTTGGATTTTGCAGTGAAAAATTCCCCAACCTGGGTTGATTGCGTAGTTGGGTTGGTTGGCTTGCAGGGTGAAAGAAACCACTTTGCTGTCCGTATTACTGTTTTCAGCAGCGGGGCAGCAACGGAGTCTGTATATTGATGGTGCGTGAATTGCTGTCCAGGGTTTGCTCTGATACCAATTTGATGTAGGGAGATTACTGAATTAGTAAATAACAAGAAGGGAAGGGGAGGAGAAGAGAAGAAGAAGACAGAAACGGGGAGGAGGAGAGAAAACGGCCAAGCCAACTTTATAATTCTTAATCAATTCATCAACTGTGAAATTACAAACCAATGATAGGTTTAAATAATGAAAACCTAGAAATATAGGGCCAAGCCCATTATTTTTACTGAGAGATCAAACGTGGTAAGAAATCCTGCTTTAAAATCCTCACCAATTTACATGGTATATAAATTGTGAATTAATAGAAGATATAACCTAGTTGGGAAAGATTCAAAGTTTATGTCTCGAGTCAGTTGAGATAATAATGTGATATGCCTTCTTAAATGCATGCTTCTTGGTGTCATCAGCTATTTTGTGTACGTATGAGATTTCATTATGTTTACTTTTTGCAAGCATGGTGGTTAAAGGGGTTGTTTGTAAGAAAAACGTGGCTCATCGGAGGATGACTTCAAACATAGATAAACCACGATTACTACTCCTTGGAGGTGCCCTGGATCAACGGGTTGTTAATCGAAAGATTCAAAGTTTATGTCTCGAGTCAGTTGAGATAATAATGTGATATGCCTTCTTAAATGCATGCTTCTTGGTGTCATCAGCTATTTTGTGTACTTATGAGATTTCATTATGTTTACTTTTTGCAAGCATGGTGGTTAAAGGGGTTGTTTGTAAGAAAAACATGGCTCATCGGAGGATGACTTCAAACATAGATAAACCACGATTACTACTCCTTGGAGGTGCCCTGGATCAACGGGTTGTTAATCACTTGTCTAGTGTTCATACTTTATTACAACAGGTTCTGACTTTGACTTTATCCTCTTCATTTCTTCATCGTTTATACCCGTTTTACTGATTTTAGTGGCTGTACAAGATTTGGTAATTTATTGCTTTCATGGATTTCTTCATCCTCTTCTTCTTCTTCATTTTTTTCCCCCGGGAAGGAAATGGACCATTTGAAGATGGCTGTTGCAAAGATTGCAGCTCACCACCCAAATGTTGTTTTAGTTGAAAAATCAGTATCTCGATATGCACAAGAATACCTTCTTGAGAAAGACATATCTCTTGTTCTAAACATCAAGATACAACTATTACAGCGTATAGCCCTCTGCACTGGTGCACAAATAGTTCCTTCACTAGATCATCTCACAACAGCGAAGTTAGGGTATTGCGACTCATTTCGTGTGGAAAAGTTCCTGGAAGACCATGGAAGTGCTGGGCGAAGCAGGAAGAAGTTAACAAAAACGCTCATGTTTTTTGAAGGTTGTCCAAAGCCATTGGGTTGTACTGTAAGTCTGAAACACTTTTACTGGTCCATTTTTTAATCAATTATATTGTTTAATCTAATCGGAAATTTTGAATTTTTGCTATAACATTTCCAGTTTTATCTGCATGTATGGGACCTTATATTGGTCATTATAAAGCTGCAGATTCTGTTCCTGGAAATTGTCTAATATGTTGTTTCAACTTTCATGATGGAAATCAATTTGGGAAAGGCAATTAGAGTAATACTATTGCCATTACTATTAAATTTATTGATTTTATGATGTATATTTGAGAGACGATTTATCATGTTGAAGACATGAGTTCAATAAATTTGCTCCCTCTCTATTAGGTTAAGCTTTTATGAGAATTCTAAATTGTGATATTAAATAATAATACAATGAGAAATATGTTTATATATTTAAGTAAGAACTAATGTAAGAAAATAACAAATAGTATCCTATCTGTATACCAAAGTTAGGAATTACTTACAAAAATATACAACCATGTATTTACAGCTATTTATTTATTTCCTAATTATTTAGAACAAGGAAATCTTTAAACTTTTTTTAGATGAGGTAGTTCAACATGTTATACAGAGACCCTAAGTTCAAATCTCACCCCAATCTATTTATGAAAATTGCACACATGTCAAAGTTTTGATGGAAACAGGAATCCAGCCTGTGCATGAGTGGCAGTGCTGAAGGCATATTTCCTAATCAAATGAAACAACTTAAGCTTTAAGATGGGGTGGTTCGACAAGTTATGATATAACATAAAATGTGTCTTATTATGAAACATTTCTAATAGGGTATGCATTCTCAGAATGAAATATTAAAATGTGTCTTATTATGAAACATTTCTAATAGGGTATGCATTCTCAGAATGAAATATTGAATTTTTGAAAGCAATAGAGTCGGACAGAATTTAGTAATCATTGTACATGTCAGATTTTGACAGATGAATTTCTATGGATAAACTTGAAGGGTTCATGGCCAATATTTTTATTTCTGCTATTCTCGAGGGAGAATTGTTGGGGTTAATCGATGGATATTACTGTGGAAGCATTCCTGTACTTTCTGCTGTTGATTCATTAGAATAAACTGCTGTTTGGGTATCTACATCTTCTGCTGTCAGAAAATCTGTGCACCAATTAGCTTCAGGCCTATGCAAGGTTTCTTCTGCAAATCACGTTGTCATCTTTCACTCTATTTATGTAAAATCTTATAATCTTAATAAGCCTGTCTTCTAGCTCAACTCTTTAATAGTGTAGTAAACAACCTTATCAGCCTATCTTCATTGGTAGATCCACATGGTGGGTTTCCTTGTCAATTTTATCCACCTTTGACCTGTTTTCACTTAGAGCCCGTTTGAGCCACATTATGATGAGAATGAGAATGAGAAATAGAGCCGTTATGGCCCCACACCAGAGATAGAAATTCAAAAATGGTGACTTGATGTGACGGATAACGGTCATATTTTTTATTTTAATGAGGTAAATACGGGGCTCAAACAGGGGCTTAATATGAATATCATGAAACAATTAAGTTATCACCGGTAATTTTTCTTTATTTCAGATTCTGCTCAAGGGTGCCAGCAGTGATGAGTTGAAGAAAGTTAAACATGTAGTCCTGTATGGAGTATTTGCTGCTTATCACTTGGCTCTGGAGACCTCTTTCCTTGCTGATGAAGGTGCTTCACTGAAAGAACTTGCTTTGAAGTCTCCAATAAAGGTTGCATTGCCTGATAAACCATCAAGTGTTGACAGGTCCATTTCGACAATACAAAATTTGACTGTTCCTACTGAAACACAGCAAGTGCCCCAACTCCCTGGCAATCTTTGTCAGGATAGAAGTGAATTGTGCTTAGATATTACACTATCATCCAAAATTACTCCCATGTTTGAGCCACAATCTTGTTTGCCTGAAGGTTCTCAATGTCAAATTCCTAATGCCAAAACTTCCATAAATATTATGGATGCTGATTTTGGAATCTCGTTCAATCCTTCAAGTCATAATTTGGCTGCTCCTAAGCAGGAGAAACTTGCTTGTAATCATGTCTCTGAGAAGAATCATCAAGTGGATCTCACTGAATATTGTGCAGCTAAATCATCACTAGGTCATATTTTTGAAGCGGGGGGAGACAATAATAAAGTTTCAGGCTGTTTTGTTAATTTAGAAGGTGTAGGTCAAAGTGTTAGTTGTTCTCATGCAGATGGAAGTAAATTGCCTTCAAATTCTGGCACTTCTGATTTTTCATATTCAGAAAAGCACGATGCCAATCACCATGAGGAAATGGAATCTTTAAAAGAAGATTTTTTCCTCTCATCTCCTGATAATCGGAGCATTTTGGTCTCCCTATCCACACGCTGTGTGTGGAAAGGAACTGTCTGTGAACAAGCTCATCTCTTTCGCATCAAATACTATGGAAGCTTTGATAAGCCTTTAGGTCGGTTTCTTCGAGATCATTTGTTGGATGAGGTATTCTCTATGCCTGTTCCCTTGCTTATATGGCTGTGTATTAGTTGTGTTCACAGCAGTAGTTTGATTTCAAAAATTTCTTTTCTAAGGGCTACCGGTGCCGCTCATGTGAAATGCCATCAGAAGCACATGTTCATTGCTATACTCATCGACAAGGGTGCCTTACAATTTCTGTAAAAAAGCTTCAAGAATTCATCTTCCCAGGTGAGCGAAAAAATTTGGATATGGCATCGGTGCCTAAGATGTCCTAGGACCAATGTTTTCCCTCCTGCCGCCAAAAGAGGGGTCATGTCTGATGCTGCATGGGGTTTTTCTTTTGGGAAATTTTTGGAACTCAGCTTTTTGAACCATGCTGCTGCAAGCTGCGGTCATTCCCTTCATAGAGATAGTCTCCGTTTTTATGGGTATGCATTCTTCTATTTCAAATGATATTAAAAGCAGTCTCGCTGTAACTCCAGTTTTCAAGGTAACTGATGGAACTGATTGTGCATGCACGTGCAGTTTTGGGAGGATGGTTGCATGCTTTCAATATGCTCCAATCAATGTTTACTCTGTCTGTCTTCCACCACCAAAGATTGAATTTAATTATGATAAGCAGGAGTGGATACAGAAAGAAGCTAATGAGGTTCAGTTATTTAAGATTGTGCTCAAGAACCCTATATTTGTGTAGTTCACATTCTCAGAAATGATTGGTTGTTGCATCACTATAGGTTAGCTGCATGGCCGACCTCTTCTTTGCTGAGGTACTGCAAATTCTTCACCTGATTTCAGAGAGTATCAACTGATTGTGGCGTGAAATCAGTTGTATCCTGTCAGCAGATTGCTGAATTGCAAGTGATGCTCCAAAAGGAAAAAAATGAACTTGAGGTGATTTTTCTTGGAATATCTCCTGATTTTATTTAAGCATGTTACACAATAATAGGCTAACATTACGAGCTAATTAGTCTCTAATTAGGCCTAATTATAGTAGCCTAATTAGTCTCTAATTAGCCTAATTTCAGTAGCTAAATTAACGTAATTAACTAGAGAAATTAGCATACCTTAGAGAGATTGTACATGTATATATATATAGCGTGATTTCCAACGAATAAGAATATAGAAAAATTCCCAGTTCTCTTTTCAATTACATGGTATCAGAGCCATGAACCATCTTACCCGTGGTTCGGTTCTTTGAATTAGGCGACATCTTTGTGTGTCGACCTCACTGTGGTCAGCCCTTTGCCTCCGGATTTCTGGCGGCATCATCTGTGATTCCGGCATCTGGGTTTCACTCCTAGTTGCCGGCAGTTTGGTTTCCAGCCAGCAGATCGATTGGATTGTTGGGCAGATCGATTAGGTTGCCGGCAGTTTCTGAAATCCCTCGGTCTCCATTTGGGTTGGAGTCTGTGTTCCAGGTTCACCATGCGATTCACCATGCGATTCCGCCTCTGGTTTGAGTCTTTGTGACGCTGTTTTGTGGACGGAAAATTCTGGTCGGCCATCTTGAATTACGGGATTTTCTTTGGCTAATTTCTGGTGAGTTGGGTACTTATATTCTATTGGGCTCTACACACGTGATCTATTTAATTGGGCCATACTGGATATATTTATTTTAACTTTGGGCTGTTAGACTTGGTGGATTATTTGTGGACTTTTGTTTGAGTTGGATTAATTGAGTCTTTCAATCTGCCTATTATTGGATAATTGAATGATGACTGAGTTCAAGGGATCTGTGAGCGAGATCATTCCAGTGATGTCCAAAATCGCTGAACATAAATTGAATAGCACTAATTATCTGGAATGGAGTAAGACGATTAGAATCTATTTACGGAGCATAGACAAAGATGATCACTTAAATAAAGATCCACCTAAAGATGATACAAAACAAAGTTGGTTGAGAGAAGATGCAAAACTTTTTTTACAAATCAGAAACTCTATTGACAGTGAGGTAATTGGTTTAATTAATCACTGTGAATTTGTAAAAGAGCTAATGGACTATCTGGAGTTTTTGTATTCTGACAAAGGAAATGTGTCAAGAATTTATGAAGTTTGTAGGGCTTTTTACCGTGCTGAAAAGGAAACCAAGTCCCTCACAACTCATTTCATGGACTTCAAAAGGACGTATGAAGAACTTAATATACTATTGCCATTCAGCACTGATGTCAAAGTTCAGCAAATTCAAAGGGAGCAAATGGCGGTTATGAGCTTCCTGGCTGGTCTTCCTTCTGAATTCGAGACTTCCAAATCTCAAATTCTCTCTAGCTCTGAAATTCCCCCTCTTCAAGACGTCTTCAGTAGAGTTCTACGCACTGAAAATACATCACCTATTCAGCAAAATAATGTTCTTGTTACCAAAGGAGGGGGAAATTACTATGCAAGGAGGCCCAACAATAGGGGAAGAGAAAACAAGAATACTGATAACCGTAACTATGATTCAAGCAGCGTTGTGTGTTACTACGGCCATGAACCAGGCCACACCAAGCCATACTGTAGGAAATTGCAAAATCGCAATAAGAGAACTCAGACCGCCAATGTTGCTGCTACTCCTAGTTCATCTTTTGAGAAAACTGTTATGATATCAGGTGATGAGTATGCCAAATTCTCTCAGTATCAAGAATCACTGAAGGAATCCCCTCCAGTTACTGCCCTTGCTGAGTCAAGTAAAACATGTCTTATCTCCTCTTCAAAGAAATGGGTAGTTGATTCAGGAGCCACAGATGACATGACAGGTAATTCTAGTACCTTCTCTAGCTTTCGATCACACAAAGCTCCCTCTCCTGTTACCATAGCTGATGGGTCAACCTATAACATTGTGGGATCTGGGACTGTTAAACCAACTTCCTCTAGTACCTTGTCATTTGTTCTGAGTCTACCAAAACTTGCTTTTAATTTGATCTCTGTAAGTAGACTTACCAAGGATCTTAATTGTTGTATCTCATTCTTTCCTGATCATTGCCTTTTTCAGGATCTTATGATGAAGCAGATTATTGGTAAAGGACATGTATCTGATGGTCTCTATATTCTTGATATGTGGGTGCCTCGATCAGTTGCTTGTTCCAGTACCAGCCTCCCAGTTATAGCACATTGTCAGTTAGGACATCCATCTCTGTCTACATTGAAGAAACTATGCCCTCAGTTTAACGATGTATCTTCACTAGATTGTGAGCTATGTCATTTTGCAAAACATCACCGTAGCTCATTAGGTCCGAGAATTAATAAACGAGCTGAGTCTGCTTTTGAGTTGGTTCATTTTGACATTTGGGGACCATGTCCTGTTGTGTCTAAAACTGGGTTTAGATATTTTATTACTTTTGTGGATGATTTTTCTCGAATGACATGGATTTACTTTATGAAAAATCGATCTGAAGTGTTCTCTCATCTTTGTGCCTTTTATGCTGAAATTAAAACCCAATTTAATACTTCTGTGCATGTACTAAGAAGTGATAATGCAAAAGAATATGTCAGACTCATTCCAGACTTACATGACTCAACATGGGATTATTCATCAATCCTCTTGTATTGATACTCCTCAAAATGGAGTTGCTGAAAGAAAGAATAGACATCTACTTGAAACAGCTCGAGCTCTTCTGTTTCAAACGAAGGTTCCTAAGCAGTTCTGGGCCGATGCTGTCTCTACAGCATGTTTTCTGATTAATCGCATGCCATCTACAGTACTTAACGGGGATATTCCATATGGTATTCTATTTCCAAACAAGTCACTATTTCCAGTAGAACCACGGGTATTTGGAAGCGCCTGTTACGTTCGTGATGTAAGGCCATCCGTTACTAAACTGGATCCAAAAGCCTTGAAGTGTGCTTTTCTAGGATATTCTCGTCTTCAAAAAGGGTATCGATGCTACTCACCTGATCTCCATAAATACCTAGTTTCTACTGATGTGATCTTTTCAGAAAATACACCATTCTTCTCCTCTCCCTCCATCTCTACAAGTCAGGGAGAGAGAGATGAGTGGCTAATCTATCAAATCACACATCCAAGTGCTCCTATTGAGCAATCAGATGATGGCGCTTCTCTCACATCTCCCGGAACATCTAATGAGCAACCTCCTACTCAAGTAAAGCCACCTGTTATCCACGTTTATTCCAGAAGGCAAGAGACCAATGATATATGTCCTGCACCGGCTACTTCGTCATCTGATTCTCCAAACGACCTTGACCTTCCCATTAGTCTTCGCAAAGGTAAACGCCAGTGTACTCTCCCTAAATCTATTTATCCCATCGCTAACTTCATTTCTTACGACCATCTGTCTCCTGCGTGTTGTTCTTTAATTACCTCTTTAGATTCAATCTCTGTGCCTAGAACAGTAAAAGAAGCCTTGAGTCATCCTGGTTGGAAGAATGCAATGTTTGAGGAGATAAACGCTCTAGATGAAAATCACACATGGGAGTTGGTAGATCTGCCTAAAGGCAAGAAAGCTGTGGGATGCAAATGGGTCTTTGCTGTCAAGGTCAATCCAGATGGTTCTGTAGCAAGACTTAAAGCCAGACTTGTTGCAAAAGGATTTGCTCAGACCTATGGAGTGGATTATTCCGATACTTTCTCTCCAGTGGCCAAACTTACCTCTATTCGCCTATTTATATCCATCGCTGCATCTAAGATTGGCCCTTACACCAATTGGACATCAAGAATGCATTCCTTCATTGTAATCTCCAGGAAGAGGGGTATATGGAGCAACTACCTAGGTTTGTTGCTCAAGGGGGGTTTGGGAAAGTTTGTGCTGGCATTATTCTTCTTGTTGTTTATGTTGATGACATTATCATTACAGGAGATGATTGTGCAGGAATCTCCTCTCTCAAGTTATTTCTGCATACCAAATTTCACACAAAAGACTTGGACCAACTAAAATATTTTCTCGGAATAGAAGTAACAAGAAGCAAAAAAGGGATATTCTTGTCTCAAAGAAAGTATGTACTCGATCTGCTCGTAGAAACCGGAAAGATGGGAGCCAAGCCATGCAGCACTCCAATGGTTCCTAATGTACATCTTACAAAAGATGATGGTGATTTCTTTGATGATCCAGAAAAGTACAAGAGACTAGTGGGAAAACTAAATTATCTCACAGTGACTCGTCCAGATATAGCTTATGCTGTCAGTGTTGTTAGCCAATTTATGTCTGCGCCTCCTGGCCTTGGTATAGTGTATAACAATCACGGACATTTTTGCATTGAAGGCTTTGCAGATGCTGATTGTGCTGGATCTAAAATTGATAGACGGTCTACTACAGGGTATTGGATCTTCATTGGTGGAAACCTTGTGTCCTGGAGGAGTAAGAAGCAGAATGTCGTATCTCGGTCCAGTGCAGAATCGGAGTACAGAGCCATGCCTAGACTACATGTGAAATTTTGTGGATACAACATTTTCTAGCTGAGGTTGGATTGAAGCCTTCGGTACCAGCAAAACTCTGGTGTGACAAGCAAGCTGCCCTTTATATCGCCTCAAATCCGGTATACCATGATAGGACTAAACACATTTTCATTCGTGAGAAAATCCAGGAAAATATAATCTCTACTGGTTATGTAAAGATTAGAGAGCAACTTGGGGATATATTCACAAAGGCGTTAAATGGGACTAGGGTTGAGTATCTTTGTAACAAGCTGGGCATGATTAATATCTATGCTCCAGCTTGAGGGGGAGTATTACAGAATAATAGGCTAACATTACGAGCTAATTAGTCTCTAATTAGGCCTAATTATAGTAGCCTAATTAGTCTCTAATTCGCCTAATTTCAGTAGCTAAATTAACGTAATTAACTAGAGAAATTAGCATACCTTAGAGAGATTGTACATGTATATATATATAGCGTGATTTCCAATGAATAAGAATATAGAAAAATTCCCAGTTCTCTATTCAATTACAAAGCATATTAGACAATTGTGGGAGGACAATTTTTTAATTAGACCTCTTTAAAGTGATAATTGGTTCAACATGTTATATATTCGCCAAATCTTTGCTGGATGAAAATAGGCTGTCGAAAGGCAGTTTGTGTTTTGGCTGCAAGAACACCATATTGCCTACTTGATGCTTTTATTAGCTGTGAATCTGTTTCTCTAATTTAAAATTCTACTGTTTTAGGAGTTATTAAGCAAAGTGCTTAATGGGGAGGCAACAGTTGGTCGTCCTGCACTTGACATCCTTGAAATCAACAGATTAAGGAGGCAGTTAGTTTTTCATTCTTATGTTTGGGAGCAACGCTTGATTAATGTTACTGGTTCTATTTCTCAAAGTTCAAGCTGTTCAACATCAAAGCCAAAGGAGAAGCCTCTCAATTTTAGAGAGAGGCCTAATTCTAGAGAGAAGCCTGCTGAGATGAATATGGTTTCCAGGCCTAGCAGAGGTTTCAGCTCCTTTGATTCTTCTCTTCAAAATGTGAATCCTGATGTGAAATTAAATCAGGTAGGATATGATCATAGTAATTCGCCTGGTTGCTTTTGTGAAGGGTTAGATATGGATCAGAACCTAAGCAAAAGGAAGGACACCGAGTCTCGTCATAGTTATAGCACAAATACAAGCAATCAGTCAGACAACCTGGAATCTAGAAAAGCTGTGCAACGGGTTCGATCAGAGGAGCAATTCCCAGCATTGGAAAATCTATCTGATAAGTTAGATGCTGGCTGGACTGGTGGTTATCAGCCAACGAGTATCATTCCCAAGGAAAATGGCTTTGCATGTCCTGATGCATTACCCAGAGATCCTTTTCCTAGTAGCATGAGATCAGTCATGGTAGACTCAGGTGTTAGAATCTGTACAAATGATTCATCCTTGTCCGAAGAGTCTCACCCTCTTTTCTTGAAAGGGCTTAATGTAAAGGAAAATTACAGTAGTTGGGTGAGAATACCCTTTTCAACTTTGTATAATTCATTCGACAGGAATTCTTCAATGGATTCACTGACACTTGGGAAAGATTAGTGAGTATAATCCTGTCTATATCTCATCACTGAGAGAGTTGGCAAATCAAGGCGGTGCCAGATTGCTCCTACCCATGGCTTCCAGTGACATTGTTGTACCAGTTTATGATGATGAGCCAACTAGCATCATATCTTACGCACTTGTCTCACCAGATTACCCTACCCTACGGTCAGACGAACCTGAAAAACAGAAAGGCAGATCAAATTCATCACTAACTTTAGATTCGATAAATTTACTTACCCTTCATTCTTTTGATGAGGCTGCTTCTGAGTCCCTCAAGAGTCTTGGGTCTAATGATGAGAGCCACTTATCGAGTTCCAGTTCTTGGATTTGGTCAGGTTTGGATCCAATATTATACACAAATGCTTTGCGTGCCAGAGTATCTTTCTCAGATGATGGTCCTCCAGGGAAGGTGAAGTATACTGTTACTTGTTATTTCGCAAAACAATTTGAGGCCTTAAGAAAGACTTGTTGCCCAAGTGATTTAGATTTCATTCAGTCCCTCAGTCGCTGTAAAAAATGGGGGGCACAGGGTGGCAAGAGCAATGCCTTCTTTGCCAAAACCCTGGATGATCGATTTATTATCAAACAGGTCACAAAGACAGAGCTAGAGTCATTCTTCAAGTTTGCACCAGTTTACTTCAAGTATTTATCTGAATCAATCAATACTGGAAGCCCCACTTGCCTGGCAAAATTCCTGGGCATCTATCAGGTATTTTCTGTTCACTTTAAACTCCTGATAGTGTTGCAGTGACTGAAATTCAGTAATAAAATCCTGAAAAAAAAAAAATTTGAACAAAGAAGATGGAAGCTGATATATTTTGTAAGCTCACTCAAAACCGAGCTGATATATTTCATATCAAATATATAGAGATTACCAGAAATTTCTAGCAAAAATAGTTGGTCGCTTTTTACTTAATACAGACTGTTTTTTGGACAGCTTTCCCTAAGACATGCATGACCATATTTTGGTATAACTTCCAGAATAAACTACCAGCTTTTATCCTTAAATTTAGCTAATTTCAAGCTGATAAAAGTACAAAAAACAGAAGATATTTTTACGTAAGTGTCAATGTAACTTCAACAAATCCTCATATGTGGTATGGCACGCTGTCGTGTTTTGACAGCATTTGTGTCTGCTAAATTCAATCTTCCAAATATATGCATTTTTCTTGTCCACGACTTATTTTATGTTCCATGTTTCATGCTTTTTCACCTGAGGGAACATTAACATTAGTTTTGCTACCTTAGCATGCTTTCATAAGATTGTGATTTTATCTTGTTATTAGCTCATCTGTTGGTTGGGTGGTTATCATCTTGAAGGTTACATCGAAACATCTCAAGGGAGGGAAAGAATCAAGGATAGATGTTCTGGTAATGGAAAATCTTCTGTTCAAGCGTAACATAACGAGATTGTATGATCTTAAAGGATCTTCTCGATCACGTTACAATCCAGATTCAGGTGGGACCAATAAAGTTTTACTTGATCAGAACTTGATTGAAACAATTCCAACTTCTCCAATTCTTTTGGGAACCAAGGCGAAACGGTTGCTTGAGAGAGCTGTGTGGAATGACACTTCATTCCTTGTGGTAAGCTTGATCAGTTTCTGAAATGACTTATTGGGCTTCTAGATTTTCAGCAACCAAGATTTTTATCTACTTGACCTAGTCATTGAATTTATACACACACAAAAACAAATCATGTGGGCGGATCACGTTTACACACTTTCTTTCTGTCACATTGTCGAACAACTACGAGTCTGATTGGGTTGGTGGCACTTTTGCCTGTTCAACTTTCTGTCTGTGAACTGAATGACAATCTTCTCTACATCAGACATTGTTTCCTTGATCAGCTCATCTAGTATTTATGTTTATTGCAACAACTTGAATATTCCTTTCCGGATTCTTATTTCCTTCTTCCTAGATTTGGTGGATTAATCACCTTGTCAAGCAATCCGTTCACCAGTGGGAGCTATATACTAATCCATTATTACTTATATGATGCTACAGTCAATAGATGTCATGGACTGCTCACTACTCGTTGGCGTAGACAAGGAAAAGCACAAGCTAGTGCTCGGGATTATTGATTTCATGAGGCAGTATACATGGGACGAGCATCTTGAAACTTGGGGGTTAAGGCATCGGGTATCCTTGGTGGGCCTAAAAATGCTCCTCCAACCGTAATTTCACCAAAGCAATACAAGAAAAGGTTTAGGAGAGCTATGTCTGCTTATTTTCTATTGGTCCCAGATGAATGACCGTCTTCAACGATCATTCCCAAATTCCCAATCGATCACAATCTGACTTGTGCGAAGAGAACGCGCAAGATGGTGCTTCTATAGATTGATGGTTTGAAGCTCCAAACCTGCATTTTCAACATGCCAGCTGAATGCTGTAAAGCTCCCTCGTCTTCTCGACCTTTCGGCCTTTTCTTGTACATTATTGTATTTTACACGACGTCATATTCGGCCAACAAAATTTTCACTGTGAACCCGTTTGAGCCACATTATAATAAGAATGAGAATGAGAAATAGAGCCGTTATGGGCTCCACACCAAAGATAGAAATTTAAAAATGGTGGCTTAATGTGATGGATAACGATCATATTTTTCATTTTAATGAGGTAAAAATGGGGCTCAAACAAGGTTGTATATTCTTTTATGACATTTTCCACCATCAACTGTACACTAATGACCAATTCATGTATGTAATGTATATTTTTCTTTTTCTTATAAGTACTTTTATATTTTTCCTCTTGTTTTGCCTCCCAATTCGGCTCCCAGGTCTCTCTCTCTCTCTATAATTTTCTCTCATATTTACACATGGGGTTATGTTGTCTTTTTATTAGTATAAGATTATGCTATTTCAATTGATTACATGTTACATGTGCTTCGTGATAAACGTTACAGAAAAAAATATAAATAAATAAATAAATAATCTTAACCAAGTGCGGGACTTATTTTTTCTGTAGGATTATTAATTAATTTGAATTCCTTGTAACTTCTTACGTCGAAGGTATTTGATTCTATTATATAATGCATAAATGATACTGTTTCTCTATTTAGTGTCGATTACAATAAGATTTTTAATAAATTTGATAAAAGTTGATAAAATGTATAGTTAAAAAAATGTGAATTCCAAAAAGGACAATTTCATTTGTACTGAATGGAATGTACTGAAAGTTGGCCCCCTTTCACAATGCACGCGGGCCCGTGTGAATATAAAAATTTTGAAATGTGGTTTCCACCCCCTATGTAAGTAGTAAGTAAAGAATTTGGTAAAAAAAATTTTGTAGAGTAGCATTTTTCTTTCAAAAAATGTATTGTTAAAATTAACTATTGATTTTTATTAACTTTTAATTTGCATCAAACATGGGCTAAACCATTTTGGTTCCAAAAAATGTGTGTGTGTGTTTTTTTTTTTTTTGAATAATCGTACTTACAAAATTTTCAACATCATTGAAACGAAATTCTCTAATTTAAGAAAGCATATATACTAATACGTGTTTCAGCAGAGTGGGCTGTGCAATAGGTGGCTCGATTATTTGAAATCAATTGTTAAAACTTAACTGAGAAGAGATACGCATAAGATTATAATAGTATTGTTTATTCAACTGACTTGTTGAGGTGGAGAAGACGAAGCGAATTTTCTCCCTTTTTAAATTTTTTTGTTGAGCTTAAGTTTACTTCAGCATTTAGAATGAAAAAAATGAAAAATATGATTATTATTCGTCACGTCAAGCCAACATATTTGATTTTGTATTTCTTGTATGGTTTATAACGACTATATTTTTCATTTTTGGAATCAACAGGCCTAAATTTAAGTGATGAATATTAAAAATTAATACGTTTGACTAAACTTAACAAGTAAAAGTTTTGTACATATATGTGTGTGCGCGCAAAGAAGTTGGCTGCTTAAATTTTTAAGGCTTCAGAATCAGGTGACTTCATTTCTAGTGTTTATTATGATTATTATTCTGTTTTAATAATCAATTTCCAGAATTGAAGTTCTTTGAAGTAATGATGGTCTTGCCTTCATTTGAAATATCAAACTAAATTCCCTACTGTGACTTCTTATAATCATCTTTCTGATAGATATGCGATGGCTGGTTTTGTTCAGAATTGTGTGCTCAGTTTTTTGGTTTTGATTATGGAGAATTGAATATGAATTTGGCGTTATTATTTTTAAGTTTCGTGCTAGGTTCTTGTAATTGCATCTGATTTATCGCTTGAATGGTTATCAATTTAGTTTAGATTATGAGTGACGGCTGCAACAATTGAGTAAAGTTTGCTAGTATTTTAAATGTTTGGGATTTTTGCTGCAATTATCCCTTTGTTCTATTCCGTCATTTAATCATCAAAATTAAGGAAATTATGAGCTTTTTTATATTATTGAAAAGATGATAACGGATTATGGTTAAAAAAAAAAAAAAAACCAATTTTTTTGGTGTAATTTGTTTTATTTTGATGAAATGTATTTATTTATTTATTTTTGAATTTTTTGAGAGAATAAGTGTTCTACAAAAAAATTTACAATTTCGTTTTTCGCCTTCAAAATTAGAAAGAGGAGAAATTATTTTTCAATGCTGCTTAATTTTGACATATTTTTGGGGACCTCAATGATTGTCAATTCTTCTGCTGCCATCTTTTCTTGATGAGATGTTAATTTATTTTTCAATTCTGATTCCTTTGACAAAAATTTTGTCAAGTTTGGAGGAATCAAGTGCAGTCAAGCAATATATTGAAATGAGTCCTGGAAATTTGTATCACATTGATACAAGGGACCCCTTCACTGACCAGTTTGGTAATTTTAGCAGGTATCTTATCATTGTTTGTGCATGAGCAGTAGCAATATATTTTATTTAAATACAGTCCAGTTTGTTTGATTTGATGTTATCTACTTATTTTTCCGTTTATTAAATGAAACTGTTTGTTGCAAGATTTTGATGTGTAAAACCATTTAGCCGTTAAGAAATTCTCATTAGAATGGTGTAATGTTAGAATCTAATAACAGTATAGTAGAAGCATAAAACTTAAAAATTATTTCTTGTTCTGTTTAAACCCTGATATTTTGGTAAATATTGAATGACGAACTTAGTAATGTAGTGATCTTGTGTGGTAATCCAGATGCTAGTAACAGTTATTTTGCCATGGGTTCGTTCACCTGGTTTTTCCATAACAGAAATCCATTACTGCAAAATCCTGCAGCTTTATCTTGATATTAGTGTTCTTGTGCCTTCGGAGAGCTACAAACCTGCACTACCAGGTTGAGAGAGTGTAAGCAATTACCATAAAATTTTTCCAGAGTTCTAATCACAAATATGTAGCGGCAGTGGGAATAAATTTGCTCTTCAAAAAGGATAAAACACAAAATATAGAAGCCATGGTTTTATAAAGAGAATCCTCCAAACCATTTTACATGTCCTTGGTCATAACTCTTCTCATTAAGTCCTGATCCTTGATCGAGAAATTATCCAATGAGAAGTCAGATGCAAGAATTATTCTCAAAATTTAGTAGAAGATATTACCAAAGCTCTTAAGTTTCATCTCCCCATGGGACCAGATGAAGCACATCAATGCAGTTTTGGAAGTTTTCTTTTGTCTACCCCTGGCCTTTCATAATGCACATAAACCATTAGAGAAGTAATGCGAGTCTCTAGTCATGGAGCTTAAACAAATATAGGTATCCACTCCAACTACATTTTTCTCAGCATTGAAAAGCTTTTATGAACTCTTTCGTAGGCACTATTGTCGATAATTGTCTATGTTGTCGTTCATAATGTTCAAAAAATAGTTTTCTTTGGTATCTGTGTGTGCATAATCGCACTCAATGTTATTGATTCCAGCTGAATTTTCATAACCATATATGAAATATATCTCTTCTCGTGATCCAGGGGTGGTGATGAGGATGATGACTCACATATCTTGAATGGTGATACCAATTGCAATGTGACTGATCATGTTTATGAGCAACGTAAAGTGCATACTCATGAGGAACACACTGAACCAACTTTGGATGGTTCAAATGGTAACGATGTTGAACTGGTGGATTGTGAGAATAATATTCCATTTTGGCTTCCTCCAGAGCCTGAAGATGAAGAGGACAGAGAAGATCTCTTATTTGACAACGATGATGATAGTGGTAGTGACTGTGCTACAGGCTCAAGCAGCTTAGGCGGTGGGGAATATCAAACTAGGGATAGATCACATGATAAGCACAAGAAGGCTATGAAAAAAGTCGATGATGAGCATGTTTCGCGCGGGTTAACTCGCTAACAATTAAAGAGGATCAGACGATTGTGTAAGGGACGAAAACCTCTTGAGACAAAGTCCCAAAAAGGGGTGTTCTTTTATTGGCGATGAACTTTACAATTGGAAACGAAAAACAACGTGCCTCCAAGGGGCGCAAGCACACGAGTTACAGAAAGGAAAGTGTTTAAGTCTAAAAGCTAAAGAAATGAAAATTACATATTCTCTGTTCGAGAGTTTTGGATTCGGTCCTTTGCTTCTACGTCCTTTCTCCCTTTTATACCTCATAGACGATCTGTTTGTGATTAACTACTCTGAAAACTGCTTGATCGTCCTATAACTACCCACTTTCTTTGTAGTGGCCATTTTGTCATGAAACCGCCTTTTAACTGCTGCCATTATCTTTCATCGTTCAACTGCCTTCGATTGAATTCCTTGAGTTGTGGAACATGATAAGGCTACTTTAACAACTGCCTTGATAACTGCATTCCTTGATAACCACGATGCGTTATGTTTGTTGATACCTTGGGCGATTTGAAGGTTTGGGCGAGAGTAGAATAACAGCTCTGGGCGACCGTATGACACCCATTCGTTCAGATTCTGGGCGACTTGCAAACTTGGGCGATGGCGTTACCGCATTCTTGGGCCCCTTGTTTGGGCCTTCACCTTGACTCGTTCGATTGGACTTCATTCTTCGGGCCATCCGATTTGGGGATTCTTCAATTCGGCTTTACTCCTTGGGCTGTTTGACTTGGGCTGAATTTTTATGTGTCAACAATTACCCCCCAATATGGCAGAATTAATAATAATTATTGAATTTTGCCATATTCACTTCACGTCTCCAGCAACGTTTGCGATTCCCAAAGAATTTCAATCATTGTTTCCCTCTATAACTTGAAAAGGTGCGTCGCTTTGCAAACCCTTATAAACTCCAAACACGCCATTTTACTGCTACCAAATCACGTTTCATATTTCTTGCGCATCCTTCATGATTCACGTAGCTCTGAAAAGCTTCGTTCCTTCTTCAATGGCTGCTTCACAATCTCAAGCTAGTGACTCCTTTAGTTTTGATGACTTTCAGAAACTTCTGAGTCGTCCATACGTAACCCCAAGTTTTCTCGCGCCCGCCGATGTTGGACGTAATGAGTTTTACTTGGGGCCTTTCTTCAACAATGCGGAGGCAGTTGAACAGGCGGCGGTGGATCAGCTGTTTCCTTGCACTCATGGCCCTCCTTTTCTGAATTTTTTGCCGCTGGGGCCACTTCGTGAAAGAGGTATTCGCATTTGGCCCAAATCTGACGTAGCTTTTCGTAGGTGGCATGCTCGTCTTGTGGGTCATGGTCCTACTAAGGCACTTTTTGATAGCGCTAGGATTTCTGATTTGTTGGAAGTCTCTATTTGCCCCCTACTTTTGATTCAGCGCTCTTTCCGATTGCTCTGAGCTTTTGGTCCTCTCAGTATAACACCTTTATTTTTCCTCTTGACCCCATGTCTATTACGTTAAGGGATGTTGGGGCCCTGGTAAATTTACCACCTTTGGGCGATACCATTTTCCCAGGCATCTTAGTTTCTGGTGGCGCCCCACAGTTCGGTAAAAACTATACCGATTCTTATTCAAGCCTGCAGACACTCCACAATCATTCGAGTGCTGAGCCTACTCATGCTGAGCGAGTGGCCTTCCTTTTAGTTTGGCTTTGTAAATATGTGTTATGCGTGCCTAGTATAAAGCCCTCTCTGAGTTATCTACCCATAGCGCACGAACTGGCACGTGGCAGGCCTTTGAATTTATGTTCTTTGTTTTTGGCTGCCCTTTAAAGAGGCATGGCTTCTCTTCAGGCTCAATTGAAGAATGGTGCATCTCCTACTGGCAGTGGACCTCTTTGGTTCACTCAACTGTGGTTGAGATCCTATTTTCCATCGCTTGGTGCTCCATCCATTTCTCGTCCTTCTGCTAGCTGTTACGGGCTAGCTATGGAGCCCTTAACTCCTGTAAGTATGTCCAGAAGGGACATTTTTTCATTCTTTTATTCTTTAGATTCAATCTCTTCCTTCTTTCCTTTTCCTCCTTTTTTGACTCCGGACTATGTACATCCTCCTTCCACTCTAGATAGCGCGAGCACCTCTCTGCTCATTTGGATTCAGTTCTTAACTGGGAGGGAGCTTTTCCACGATATCTTAACTGGGACCAATGCCAAAGCAGGGGTAGAAATTTATGCTCCCCAATTTTTTGCTCGGCAGCTTGGTTTCGGCCAAACTTGGCCTGTTCCTCTTTGCTATTCGAAGAACTTAAACGACCGTTTTCATACCATTAATAAGGCGGAAGCAGAGGCTATAAACGCTCACGCTCGCACCCTCCATTTATCAAGCCATTTTTCATTAGCCCCTTTTAATCCTTGTCATGCTACTCACCCTCTTTTCGAACAACTTTGGCCATCGGTGAAGCGCAGATTATTTGCGACTGAGGCCAATCGTGCCTTTCATTCATTAGACCAACCGAGTATTTCTTCTC